CAATTCTCAATATTAACTAGTTGCTTATTAACATGCATAGTACTAGGATATTGGCTGTTTATTAGTACTTATAAAACACATATTAATGCCTTATTCTGCATGACCATATTTTAGATCCCTTAATCTTAAACCCCATACCTAAACTTAAACAGCAAATTATGAGTTTATTGAGGCAAAAGTCATAGTTAATATTTAGTTAATAGTGAGAATTGGTCTCCAAACTAAAGTGTGATTAAGTTACTAAAGGCAGAGCCATACTTAGATTAAACATATGATGAGTACTCCCGTGGCAAAGATTAACACATTTAATAAATGTACACAAGTAAACACTTATATTATGCACTGCATTCAAGCTGCTACACCTCAGATGTATGAGAAATTATCAGTAAATAATACTTTATTAATAACATTTTAGTTTAACTGCTCTCATAAATGTAAAAGGACTTAAATTTAATGTCAATATGATGAAACAAAGCTATGATACTGTTTTTTTTTTATTGATACTGATACACCTATAGCATATTCTGCTCAGAAAAGGTTGAATGCTCAGTTGTGTGTGAGGCGTAATGCTATGCTTTCTTATTTTATGGAAAACAACAGCTCGAAGACATCTTTTCCGAGATCCGTTTTTGAGTAAATGATAACAAATAATGATAAAGATTTCAAAGATGAAAATGACATGAAATTACCATTATAACCAGTATGGTAGCAGAGGATCACTCATTTAGCTCAGTTGCCATTTAAACTCCCTAGTTTTTTTTCATGTCTTGCTTTTGGATTTATTGTAAAAATATAACAAATTTTAGTACTTTTAACTGTATTGAAGTATAAAGTATAGCAAGTGCAGGAAGTCACAAAGTCTCATGTCATTTAAAAATAAATAAATAGGCCCAGACACCAACAGACTTTAAGGGTTATTTATTTAAATACTTAACTAATTAACTACAAATTAAGTTAATTATTAATGGTATAACAATTAAATAATGCATTACATATTTTGAAATATTTTTAGATTTAATTTAACAGCTACATTTAAGTTTTATCTTTAACTGTAAAAGCTGCTAAATATTTTCAGCCGACACAGACTTGTTACTGCTGTAGTTTTGTTACTCTAAATTTAGTCTGACTCACTTAATGCACAGCTCTATTTTTGACTTTGGCTCATCAGATATTTCATTCCATTATCACTGTCAGTCATAGCAATTAGTTGCGGAACAATTTATTTTTTACACTCGCGTTTGTCATTCTTGAAACAGTACAGGTGGACATTTGGTCCTCTTAGAAAAACAAAAAATGTCTTCAAATTGTGAATGGATTATACAGAAACTGAGCAAAGGGCACTCCGTAGCTGATTTTGACAGTTGATCGGAAATGACTGAGCTGGCCTATCTAAAACCAGGAAGTAACTGTGCATGTGGTCAACTGCATGACTCTAATCCATTTTTGGTTTAAGTATTGCATAATACTGAAAAATGTATTTTTTTGCAGATTGATGTCAGTCTCCTACAATTCTCGGCGTACTGTAAGAAAAGTTGAGATTGGGTGGATGCACTATGATGGGCAGGGCTTTGTTCAAATGAGAGCAAAAAAAGGAGGGGGAACAAGGAAGTTGAGTGTGCCAAAAGACTGGAAAAGGGAAGAACTGATGGAGGAGGCAATTTGTTTGTTTTTTCCCAAATGGAAAAATGTTAGAGTTTGAATTGGATCTAACAAATTATCAGGAAGTGTCACTAGATAAAGAAACTACAGTGGAGGAAATGTATAATGCATCCAAGCTCACAATAGGCGCGTTTCCATTACAGATTTGTGCAAAACTTTGGCGATATTTTATAAATGTCGATAAAAAGTATTGCGAAATGACAGCGTTTCCATTAACCGATGTTATGAGACTTAAACGTAACCTTTTGCCTCTCGCGATAAGTCATGGCAACGGATTTTGGTGGGATTTTGGCTATATTTATTCAAAGGCGGCTTATGCATGTATCTTTACAGAAGCAGCAAAGAGAGCCGCTTGAGAAAGTGCGTGGCGCGGCTGGAATAAACCATAGACTGTATAAAAACATAAACACAAGCATTGAGTGGCCGTAATCAGCTTCAGTGGCCGTATCAGAGCCACACTGCACCGCAGACGTGTGCAGTGTAAACTGTCTAAGTATTAATAGTAGGGAAAGCCCCTTATACTGGAGCACGGCCACATATGAAGTATTTCTTGGAGATTATAGTACACTGAAGAATGATCATATGACTTTTTACATACGCCATGTGACCTGTAAATGCGAAAAAGCCGTTTCCATTGCAGTTTTGCGAATTAATCCTTTTTCGCATTGCCTGAAAAACCACCTCATGCGAGCGTAAAAACTTTTTTGCGATATATGGGCATTTTTGCGAAATTGACGCGTTTCCATTAGGCGCATTTTCAATTCGCAATTTCAATTTGCGCAATTTGAAGGGTAATGGAAACGCGCCTAATGATGATGTTCTACCTGACAACAAAAAAGGTGGAGAGGGAAGTGAAGTGGAAATATCAGACACAATGGAGGACTTACACAACAATAACCAGGATCAAAGTCTTACCACTTCCAGCAGAATGAATGACTTCTTTCAAGCTTTAGACATGGATGTCATTTTTGTGGAAAGTCCGGGCAATGATGCTGTATCTCCCTTGCATTCCACCGAGGATCTGAATGTTCCTTTTCAAAGTTCTTCAATGGCCTTCCCAGATCACTCGCATACAAGCGATGTAGTGACAGCACTGGAATAGATGAACAAAACTTAGATGACACTTTGCCTCTGAGCCCAGAACCCATTGTTCCACAAAAAAAAATTATTGTTGTTCATCGTGGACAGATATTTTCTGAACTCATTGCACATTTCTGTGATGAAACCCTTCCACATACACAGAGTGAAGTAGAAGTGAAGCTGCTCCTCCCAAATGCACGGTTTGAGATGGGCCATGATGTTGGTGGAGTGTTCAGGGATTGCCTATCAGAGTTTTGGCAGGAATTCTATGATCAACGCACGCTGGGGAACAATTTTAAAGTTCCCTTTCTTCAACATGATTTTGGCAAAGAAAAGTGGGAAAGTGTAGCCCGAATAATTCTGTTCGGCTGGAAGAAAGAGAAATATCTCCCAATAAAACTTGCACCTGCCATCTTGCAGCAAGCAATAAAAGGATCTGTAAAAAGTGATCTGATTGAGAACTTTTTGAAGTATGTCTCAGAAAATGAGTGTGCTGTGTTAGAAAGCTGCAGAACAGACTTCTGTAGTGCAGACCAGGAGGAATTGCTTGAGACCTTAGACAACTACAGTTGTCGGAGAATTCCAACAGAAGAAAACTTCAAGCAAATTTTGCAAGAACTGGCACACAAAACTCTCATTCAAGAGCCTGCTTATGTTCTTGAACAGTGGGCAGGTATACTTGGATATATTTATATTTATATTATATATACTTATTTCAAAGCACTTGACAGCTTACTTGAGGGAGTGTGATGCAAAACGACAGTCTCTGTTTCTTAGATTCTGTACAGGATCAGATTTGTTTATAGGCAAAACTATAACAGTTGATTTCACAGACCTTAAAGGGTTTGAGAGAAGACCGGTAGCACACACCTATGGCTGTTTTTTCAGAGGCTTTTCAGATCCGAAATGAACACAATTCTTCAAAGCAATGTCTGGGTCATGGACATAGTTTAGTGGTACATCAATTAGATATTGGCAGATATGAGTTATGGCCAGCTCATATGCTAGCTATTTGTCTTGGGTCATTCTTCATACACTTACAATTATTTTACACATGTACAGAACGTAAAACATTCACTTTAATTTGTCCACTTAGTTATTGCTGTTTACGTTGAATGTCGAACAACCTTTTTTATGACTCTCGATAGTGAAAGTGCTCTTCATTGTTTAGGTACAAACTACTGTTTACATTCAATTGTACATGTTGCCTCTTCAGTGAGATGATGGCTTTGAATCATTATAATGTGTTCTTAACTTTGTGCTTGTATACAATTGGGTGTTGCATTATTGTGAACCTTTCATACATGCCATAGATAAAACATTTGAACAGTTTTATAAGATTGTTTTATTGAAATAATTTTAATGTGGTTTGTTTTATTCTTACTTGTACCACATTGTAATGTTTGGTTAACCACTCATGTATTAAACACAACACAACCTGCATATATGGTGCCAATGTTTTTTTGTTTTTTTTTGTGCATTGAAGATGAAGTGAGTGAGTACCACAAGCCAATAAATAATGCACATCAAAGTTCTATTCTGAACTTTTAAAATCTATTTCAGTTGTAGCTCTAGTGGCACACAAAACCTGACAGCCAATGTACCATGTAAAATTATTACAACCATTCAGGTTCATCAAGCCTGTTAAATGATTTATAGGACTACAAGTAGGAAAAAAATACTATGGAAGTCAATGGTTCTCATCAACTGTTCAGATCCCAACATTTTTCAAAATATCTTCTTTTGTGTTCAACAGAAGAAAGAAACTCATACAGGTTTGGCTCATTGGTAGCATAATTGCATTTACAATACAGTCAAATTACAATTGCAATTGCATCAATAATGTTATGAGGTTAAAGTTTTAATTATGGACATTTTAATGTAGAAATATGTCAGTACCTGTCCAAAATTACATTGTACGCTCTTAAACTATGTACTGTGTGTCTAGTGTATGGCATTTAGACAACTTGCTTGTCATCAATTACATAATTAAAGGTGCAATGACTGAGTACATGAAGTGTCCAAAATTCTGTGTTGGAATTTTTAAGTGTGAACACAATATTTATATTACAAAATGGCTTAGTGCATAAGCATATGAATTGGGATGCACCTACAGAATCATTCATTCATTCAATACACATTAAGCTGCCTATTGCGTCATCAGTGCTGTTCTTGGCCGTGCTTCTCAGCTGGGTGCTTTAAAGGTAGCAGGGCTTCATACAGTGGATAACGGTTAAATCTGTCAGCAATAAGCAATATGCAAAATTAAGGGTTCAGCATAAGGTTCAGCAAGACTTGAACGTTTATTACAATAAAGGGTCTGGCCCATAATTGTAAAAAAAATGTATTCCCTGAACATAAGCATGTTTAAAGACAAATTACCATAAAATGAAATATAACTTCTGCTCACCCTTAATCTTGATAGAGATAGATATAGCACAATGGAAGTAAGGGCGGGGATTGCAGAGCCTTTGACCTCAGACACTTGTTTTGAGACTTGATTGGCCTTTTCATGAACAAAGAACAAATAAGAACAAATACAAATAATATTCAGACAAAAAGTTACTTTTTTGTTTAAAAAAATTCCCTGCAGTCTGAAGCTCAGGGGATTTCATCCTCTTTAAGTTGTTGACTGATGAATAGAAAGTGATAGGAAGTTTGTTTACAAAAAAATCATACTGTCTATTTAAAAACAAAAAAACAAAACAATGTAATTTGATGTTAGATCAAATGCTGGATATCAAAATCACATTTTCCCCCAGTGTAATGTTACAGTTTTTTAGCATAGATAAATATTTATTTTAATTTCTTAAGCATTCAAAATTGATCAATTAATAAATCTTTAAGTTGTTGACTGATGAATAGAAAGTGATAGGAAGTTTGTTAACAAAAAAAATCATACTGTCTATTTAAAAACAAAAAAACAAAACAATGTAATTTGATGTTAGATCAAATGCTGGATATCAAAATCACATTTTCCCCCAGTGCAATGTTACAGTTTTTTTTAGCATAGATAAATATTTATTTTAATTTCTTAAGCATACAAAATTGATCAATTAATAAAAGAATATGAAAAGTGTGCTCCCCAGTCTATCCATAAATACTCTCTGTTGCCTTGTGAATGGTTGTGACCTATAATAATATGGGAAAAACAATTACATCTTTACTTTAAACATGTAAGGGACAATTTTTAATATCACTCTTGAGTGTCAGTGTAACAAAAGACAAATGCAAAAATCTTTATGGCCAGATGGTAGTTTTTTACAAATGTGAACTATAATTATGAAGGCCTGCTTCTGAATATGCACAGCCAGCCAGTTTGTGGGAAGTGTTTTCCTTGCAGAACTCTGCAAATGTAGTCCTTCTTACCTATGATTGGACTCAAAACAGACTGATATGTGATACCAAGAGCTTTGAGATTCCCTCCAGTGGTCCAAGGTTGCTTGGGTAGGGAGAGTAACTTGGTGAAAGGCTGCAGTTCAACACCTAAAGTTGACGAAGTTTGAGGTAAAGGTCTGTAATTTCATAAACATCATCTGACATGACAGGGTTATGCTCAGCAATGAGTTCTACACACAGTTGAAAGACATCCTCATCACAAGGGTAGTCTTTAAATAAACACTCCTCTTGGCAAATGCTCAGTTTTGATTGTTCAATTGGATGCAAGAAATTCTGCACTTCATATAAGCTGGGAACAGCAAACATTATTGAAGGTCGACCACTGGGAGCACGTGGGTTGTGAGTTTACAGTTTGTGGGGTTTTAATAAATACTTTTTTCTCCATCTCCTTTGTCATGTGCTTTACTACAGTCATACGTGACAAACAATGGTATTGCAAAACAAGTCAATGTCAATGTTATCTTAAGAGCATAAACCACTTTCCCAGAATCTAGCACATTCCAGCACATGAAAAGTTGTAAATTAGGTTAATAATTAATGTTTTATGTCATTGAATTGAACTTGACAAGTTGTGTTGAAAAAGGTTGTATACCATTTCTTGTGTTTTACACACATAGCCTGTCATCTTCAGTATATTCTATATATCATTTAGTTATACATACATTTCATTCTATTCTTACTTTTAATTTTGTTATTTTTTATTGTTTATTAATCCATGCACTGTTGATATAGGATGTTGTTGCATGTGGGGGAATAACATTCAAACTCTATCAGCAACATTTGTGGCATGATATCAATCACCACAGAAATAAATGTAAGCTTATTCTTTAGTTAAAGCAGTAAATGTTAAATAATGCCCTATTTCAGTAGTATTGTCACAAGGCTTCTACATTATATATGCAAACATCACTTGCTGATTTTGTCTCTGTAAACTTACATCCAGATGCACATGGATACCAGAAAGTGGCGTGACAATCTATATCGATTTAAAAAAGATGAATTATTTTCTGTTGTGATAAACATACAGTAGTGCCACAAACATTGTGAATAGAGTTAAACAACTACTGAACCCAGGGACATCCCTTTGAATATGATTAACTTTAACTACTTTTTTATCTGAAGCAATATAAGTCAAGTACAAAAGACCACAAACAGGACACTATAAAAAGAGCATGAGGGTCTGTGGGGATGACGGAGCAAGAGCTGGACATCAGTGAAGAATGAAGGGTTGGTTACGTACACTGCTGCTGCTGGAAACCTTTGTGTTTGTCATACAGCAGCAGGTAAATGAAGGACGCGGTGAGAATGAGATCAGTCAACAGCTCAGCAATGAGGACAGAAGACAGAATCCACCTCAGACAGACACTCTGAGAGATGAAGCTTCAACTGACAGCCAACAATACTGCCATCTGAGCTTCCCTGACATCCACGCAGCACTGAGAGAACTGACCGCCACCATCACAGAGCAGAAAGCCAACATCAGAGCTTTAGAGACACGACTGAGGGACGCTGAGAAAACTGCAGAACAACAGGCGGTCATCCTGGAAGAGCTGAACAAGAAAAATGATGGTGCCTCACCAAAACATTCACACTTTTATTAGTGATCCTCAGAGGAAAACACCAATGTTATACTATGCAAAGTGTAAACGTTAGTGTAAAACTGAGTTTTTTCTATTACAATAAGCATTATAAATGTAATTTAACACAATCTTTATTTCTTCACAGAAAATTCCAATCTTACTCAGAGTCAAGTGGAGGAGCTGAGAAAGGAAAATAGAGGTGAAACAGTGTGTTTGAATGATGTTAATACATCCTCAGTGTAATAGAGTAATACATCACAGTATTGCTCATGTTTTACAATCACAGACAGAGAGATAGCGTTCTCAGCTGCACTGATGGAATCTGGCAGTGGAGATGTTGGTCCTTTCCCCACTGACATCACACTAACCTACAGGAACGTCTTCACAAACATAGGGAACGCCTACAACCCAATTACAGGTAATTGTCAATGAAATGGAGTCATAAAACCCATAGTAATGAGAACCCTTCTGCTCCATTCAAACCTCTCTGCAGTTGTGTAATGTGAATTAGAGAATTAAATGATCTACCATGTTTCAACACTATTACACTGTGCTTGGTAATTAAGCAATCATGCAAGACACAGCTGATTCTCTTCTTTATCTTTCATTATATATTCACAGGTATTTTCACAGCCCCACTGAAAGGAGCGTACATGTTCAGCTTCTCTGTCTATGGTCATGGTAATCCCTTAACTCCATCAACTGTCTCCATTGTGAAGAATGAACAGCGGGTGGTTGTAGCACATGGCCATCAGGATCAGTACGCTGTGAACTCCTCAAAAGGAGTAGTGTTGGTTCTGGAGGTTGGAGATGTTGTCTATGTGAGACTTTGGTCTGGAAGTAAGATAAATGATAACGAGGATAACCACATCACTTTCAGTGGTTACCTACTGTTTCCCTTAAGATAACAGGAGCTTTGAAGAATGTGATTCCAGTAAAACTGAACCTTTAGCGTATGATTGAAGATGAAAATCATGAAATATCATTAACACATGAACCTGTATATACGGTATGAAAGTCAGTATAATAGACTACTCATAAGTTCTGAGCTGTCTATGCATGTAACTTTGTATAAAGAGTTTGAGCACTGAGACAGACGGTACCCATGAATATCACATGTGACTCATGTGATTTTATAAAGTAGCAAATCTAGAATGATAAATAATCGCTTTTTAAGTGTAGCTTATTACTAACCTTTGTTCTGTATCTCTTCATCCTACATTAATAAGATAATAAAGAGACATTATTGTTCCATTTTCTTTTTGTCATCTTATTAAATATTACTGTACTACTGGTTTGTTGGAGAAATATGTTAGATCAACTATGCTTGCTTTAAGGTCATGATAGCATATGTATATATAGCAAGTAATTCATGACATGACGTAGTCTTCAAGTAATTTACAATCTTTGTCTCTAAAATCAAATTTTGTAGCATTAAAAATAAACAAAGAAGTTTATTTTTCAGTCACAAACTCTTTATTCTTATCACAATCTTATTGTACATTGATCTCGAGTCTCAAACCAGGCTTCAGACAAGGAGCCCTAGTTTAACGATCTAAGCGCATGGTCTAAAGCGCATTGTCCCTATTCTCTTAATGAGTAATGGGTGTTTTTTTGGGCGTAACGTGCAATAAACCAATTAGAGTCTCATCTCCCATCCCCTTTAAAAGCTAGTTCAATTCAATTCAAGTTTATTTGTATAGCGCTTTTCACGATACAAATTGTTGCAAAGCAACTTTACAGCAAATTAAGTTTCTACAATATTTAGTGGTAGCTTATCAGTGGTGACTGTCAGTTAATGTACATATGGCAGAAATGTACGGAAAAATCAATTAAAGACGTAATAAAACAGACGATGAACACTATTAACAGCAATTATTATATGATGCAATCAAACTTGTAGCAAAATGTGGTAGTTCTGTATGTTGTTTCAGGGTTGGCATCACCTGAGGTCCTCTGAGGTGTTGCATCATCTCTTCGCAGGTGTTCTGGATCCAGACTGAAGCTTGTGTAAATCCTAGTTACCACGGGATGCCAATCCCAGCAGAAACAGAGAAACACATAGCAGGGGTTCTGCAGACATGAAAAAGTTCCAATTAAGACCTTTTTAATACCACCTTATATGAAATTTAAGACCTAA